ACATACACAGAGGCACATACAAGGCAGGAAAACCGTATCGATTAGAAGACAACTGCAAGGGGAATGTGCTAAACCGAGAAAAGCCAGAGAGAAGCTGGAAAGAGAAATGAAAAAGCAAAGGACATGGAATGAATATGTATGTACTGTATGTAATGAATATTTGCATCTTCCTAATAAAGAGAAAATTAGTATAATTTGCAAGGTTGATATGTGAATGTAAACAAATTTAGACTCTAGCAAAAACATAATTACTTTAAAACACTATTTTGATGACAATTAAGCACATGTTCTCCTAAATTGTCACTGTTTTACTTGAGTATTTAAATAGTGATTCTCATTACTGTAATACAGCAAATATTTGCTGTATTTCATCACAAATCAAAGGCAGAACAACAAATACTGTCATGACATTTACCATTTCCATAACATATCACTGTGTTTTGCATTACTGTAATGTGAATGAGATTTGGATGCATCTCATTACAGTAATGAGAATTTGAAAGAGAAATGTGCTTGACTGTAATGAAAATCATGTAATAGCTAAAAAGGCTTCAGTTTCTTTAAGCAAAATGTACATTCTTGTTGTCGTTCTTGAGTTATGATAGGTTTAAGATTTCCCAGATGACATTAGGTTGCATCAAGGATCGGATGAGAAAATAGCTTTTTAAGGTAACAAGGAAATGTACACGCTTTACAGTGTATTTTTAAACAAACAGCAAATTGAAACGAGAACGAGAGTGAAACAGATAGAGAGAATGCAGGAGGAGGCGTTTGGCTGCATGTATCATCTGGCTCTTCTTGCAATCAAAGTTGCTCATGCTGATTTTGGACCAGAGTCCAAATCCTGAGCCATGCTATCAGGATCAAAGCAGCCACAAAAACGAAATTACTCACAGCAGAAGTGTGGAAGGGCTTTTGTCCAATAAAAATCCACTGTTTCATTTCACTGCTGCTGATTCATTATGATTCAACATGAAGATAAGAACATCCTTCTTCACTTTCTCTCTCCAGATACACCACATTCCATATCCGAAGTGGCGTTTCTGTTCAAAACAACATAGACACGTGATTATCAGAATATCACATTCAAATGAAGAAATGTATAACAATGAAAATTAAACTGGCAAAAATCTCAAGCAATGCACATCATGTAAACAATTTGAGAGACTAACCACTAGAGGGAGCCAAGAAGCCAATCTGCTGTCAACACCACACATCCTCAATAACTCCCTGTAATCTGTAAACCTTCATCGCTTTTCTTGTGGTGACAGCAATCAGATTTAGAAAATTATGGACCTGCCACATGTTCTTGCTGCTGTGATGTGGCCTGTCAAGCCATGTAAAGAGCAAATTTTCATTTTTCCTTTAAGCAAGCAGTCATTTAGCAGATGCTTTTTATCCAAAGTAACCAAAGCACACTTTAGGGACATCTCTGGTGCAACATGAGGTAAAGCGTCTTGTTTGAAGATCTCGTTAAACCTTCAACTTTTCAATGACTGCTAGCCCAAAACTTTAACCACTAGGCCACATTACACCTTTAAGTTCTTGACCCCACTTACACATTAACCAAGATAAAATGAAGGAGTTTAAAATGAAAAGATGCTCATCTAGACCAGCCAGAAAGCGGTGCAGTAATACAAGCTATGGCCATAAACCAAGACAATTCCATCCAAAGGATGTCATGCAGTGAATTTGAAGCTCCATATGGACTTACAGACCACATCACTTCTTTCAATGGCCAGCAGCCATAAGCGACCTACTTCAAACCTAAAGGGAATTGGACAAAATCAAGACTTTAACATTGTAAATCAACAGGAGACATGGCTGGATAGTCATATGAGATGGTTTTTACATATAAAAGGGTTGCAGCAACCAACTTCAATCACTCACCTCCCAGTGTCACATAAAACCTACAAAGGCGCATCACATTGGTCCAAGGATGAAGTAGTTGTTCAAATCTGTAGTGATACTGAAGCCAAAGCAGACCATGATCGTCCCTGCAAGGGCCAGATTTACTAGGAAGAGGTGCCTGTATTGGCCAGTGACCGCAAGAGTCAAACTCTCCTGTCACTTTCCACATCGCAGCGGTGGTTTTTATACCTCGAGTAAATTGACTTAGAGAGATTAATGCATATGGACAAAATGGTGTCAGGATTGATGCATTTAAAGTGATGGACTGAGAGCTTATCTGATGGGGCTTCATTAAAAGGTGCAAAGCATGCCAAACAATTGCTTGTTGAGTCCAACAAGAGATCTGAGGGATTATCATGGTGTCTGACACTGACCTTATAAAACTCTGTGAGAATGATTTCCATTATGATTTACTCTTGCCAATGTTACACATATTGCATAATAATAATTATAAGCAACCGCACAACACAATTATGGATAGTATGTAGTTAATTAGCATTACTGAGTACTTATGTCAATAGAGCATAACATAAGGTTGTTTTAACTGAAGCTTTAATTTTTGCAAGCAAATAAATCTGATCATTATTTTGAAATGTGTTTTGGTGAGAAAATAATCTATTAAGAAAGCAGGAAGCATTAAAAAAAAAAACGTTAAATGCCGACTTTATCTTATTCTGTCAAACCCCCGGCACTCACGTGTTCTTCAGCAAGACACTAAATCCTGAGCGACTGACTGACCCTTTCATCATCTGCCTCCGCAAATGTCAAATGTCATTTTCTCCCTTCACAAACTGACAGTAAGTGGCAAAAATGAAGAGCTCCGACTTGACAAGTATCCACCTTAAATTACAACAGAAACACTTAATTGTTGTTCCAGAATAGCAGTAATCGTGTGATGGGCCATTAATGCCAACAAAAGTATCTTCTGGAATGGCTTTTAATGAAAAGGGGGAGGCTTACTGTGTACAAATCTGACACAAATATAAAAAGATAACGTCATCCAAATTTCAAATGAACTGCACGTTTGGGTCAAGATGTGATGGACAAGACACATTATGTCTTATTTTGGGCAGCCTCTTTTTCCCCCCAGTATAAACAGATGATACAGAGCAGAAAATGGTTTTGTTTTGTTTTTTTTGTTTTTTTTACAGCCGTTTCACTTTCTATTTGCGGGAAGGTGGAAAGGTTGCTAAAATCTGTCTATTATATTATAATATATATTGCAATAGCTATAGCCTACTTAACATTTTGCATTCTTAATAACTGCAGGAAAAAAAAACATTCATATCTTAGCAAGCTATTTCTACCTGATCTTACCTTCATTAATACTTTTGCTGCTGTAACTTTAAATGTCAGCATACAAAAGACCTGACAGACCATTTTACAGTGCATCAATATGCCAAAAACACTGTGAGCGTAATGCATTCATGAGATTTTACACCATAAACAGACAAATATCTTGTTATTCATTATAGATGTTGTTTTTGGTATTGTTTTCAATCCATATGAAGTATATGTAAGACAGCCCAATCAGCTCTTGTTTAAAATGTGCTACATCATCACAGATATGTTTAACGATTTAAATGAATGGTGTCAGTTTTGCTGACTTAGCCAATGCACATGCTTTGTCATTATGGCAAAATAACAGCACCTAATGCAGCTCAAAATCAATCTCAAACATTTGTTTCATCAACACAGTTAATGACACAAGTGGACAGTATATTCATTCATTATAGCATAACAACTGTTACTTGTGGATGTAGATGCATTTCACTAACCTCAGCACATAGCTCATCACAATAGCACTCAGAAAGCTGAATAGATGGCTTGAATTCATTTGTACAAATTATCCAGGGTTGTACGTCACAAACACACTGTAGACTCTCTCTTACTCTTCTTTTGTAGCCAAATCTGGAATTTGCACTTGTTAGATTGGTTAAATTCACACTTCTCAAGTCTGTTGTAACCAAAAATAATTTAAAGCAATTTAAAAACCTTTTGGCTCACAACGGATGGACTTTAAAGCTACATATTTAAATATTTAAAAAGAATAATAAATATTACCAAAGCATATAGCAAAATTACTGAAAGCTGAATTTAAAAGAAAACTGTAAATATAAATGAAATTCAAAATCATTCAAAACATTAATAAATACTATAATAGTATATAAATAATAATCTAGCAACTATTCCTAAATGCTTACCATTAACAAACCTCTACTTCACTCTACTGAGTGCATTTGATTCTGCAATAAATGGTGTGGATGTTATTTAAGGTCCTTGTGGTGGGCGTTCTCTATCTGCTCGGTTTCCCACACAGAAGGTAAGGTTTTTTTGGTTCTCTAGCAACAGATGGCTCGAGAACTAAATTGATTTGATAAACTCGGAGCAAGTTGTTGTTTCTTTCTACTGTTGACAACTGATTACTTGAGGAAACTCATTAACGGTCCTCTGAAATCAAGTCAGCCCCTAGAGAGTTAATAATTGGCGTGTTTTCTGCACTACCATTCGGTGGCGGTGCTCCTGTGAACTGAAGGTGATGAAATAAAAAAAGCCTGTTTACAGCAAATTAATGCTAAGACAACATGCCTTTCTATTCAAATATCTTTACTCGCTGCAAAAACAAACATATAGCATGATTAATATGTTCAAATCATGAACAAAGGACTATTACAAACTGATTCTGAATCTGAACTCAACTGAATCGCACAACAAGACAAAAAAAAAAAAGATTGTTTTGAATCAATCTGATGAAAAATGTTTTGTGCCAAAAAAGGCATTCTGTAGAAAGCACTGTAATGGTTAGTTCAAATTAGGTATGTGAACTATATCTGCAAGATCTAGTAATTTAAAAAAGAAAAAAAAAAGATCAAAACAAATACCACAGCCATTTGCTGCTGTTTAAAACTGTTCCAATTTGATGTCATTAAAATATTTAGAAACATTTCCAATTTGGAACACAGGAGCAAGTATGATATAATTCAAACCATCAGCTTTAAATGCTTGCGTTTGTGAATGTTGAAACCTTGAAATTAAATACATTTCACCACAAAATGAACCCACAGTCCCACAGTTCAGCTACGATGTTTTCACAACACCTCTTCAAGAGTTGGGAGCACCTCGTCTTTCAAGTAAGTATCGAGATCGAGCTCAGGGTCATCTTCAACACACCTGAATCAGGAAATATATTTTGAGTAGGAGGAGGACAGAATTTAAAAATAATTGTTTTGCTGTTCAGACCATCCCATACCTGCTGTACTGTTCATCTGAAGATGGCCTGTCCATCTTTCTGAAGGTTCTTCCTGTTCTGTATAACTCTGACACCTGCATAGATGATGATATTTAGGAGATCAAATCCCATAATGTCATACAGAAACTAAACAGCATGCACACATTTAACGTTTTGACAGCGTTTTGATAACAGTGATAGATTGCTACTCAAAGTTAGACTTTGAACTTGAAAACTCATGCAGATATCCACAACATTGATTTCACAGAGATGCAGGACGTTACATAAATGTTGATCACAGGAAGCAGTATCTGCCGATACGATCACTGATACAGATCTTTTTAAAGCCTTCTTTTTATCATGAAGATTTATTTATAGTGATGCTTCAATCAGGATTTTTATAGACATTCATTCAGGGCCTGAATTTCATTTTTGAAAATGGGGGAATTCCCTCTCTCACTCTTGTGGGGTGGTTAGACATTTTTCAAAAATATATAGTTATCTCACCTAAATGTTTGATCATGCAGTACATTTTTGTTTTTACAATGGTTGCACAATAGCTTACACACAGCACAAGCCTGATTTTGTGAGCTGTATGTGAGGCGGCCTTATGTGTGTGCGCTTTGAGTGTGCATGAGCGCACCCATCTCTAGGAGAGCGCACGAGTGCTGAATGGCTTAAACACTAGCAAGACTTAAAAAGTGACATTAGTGACGATGCGACACTGCCTCTGCACTGCACTGATTGTGCAAGTGACAATTCCTGTGTCTTTGCAGCGTGCAGCTCGCTTATAGTGCAGACGCGATGCGGTGATTTGAAGCCATTTGGGCATTTTTAGAGGTAAAGAGAGAGCGCGCGTGGTGATTCACTCATGCTGTTTGTGAAAATATGTCTCACAGAAACTTTTCAAATTAGTTTGTAAGTTATTTTATAAAGAAATATGAGTTGTACCTCACTTTCAGCATTATAATTATTGCCGCTACATGTCATGCCAAACCTCTCACGGTAGGTGCATAGTCAGCTTGAGATCGGTTTATGAGATCGGCCTTTTTAGAGACCGCCGATCAAACTTCCCAAAGCGATTATCGGTCGATAGCGATCGGTAGCCGATCAATCGGAGCACCCCTAATAAATGGTCATTTAAAAAGCAAAAAATAAATAAAATAAAAAAACTCATAAAAAAGGAAACTCATTTTGAGGAAACAGCCTTTAAAGATATGTATTTTAACTGAAATCTACAGATGCAAATAAATAAAGTGCAATAAAACAAACACTTAAAAGTCTATTTTGCATGTTTTATTTCCACTAGTCTGGAAATAAAATTGCCCAAATTGCCCAAAATCTCAAAATTGACCAGTGCATGAAAAAACAATGTTTTTGCCTGTAGTGTCTTGCCCTAAGATTCACATGACCAAGAAAAAGCGTTTAAAAACAGTTTTAATGTTTTCAGAATGGGAATATTAGCAAAATGTTCCTAGAACATATTTTTGTTAGCTTTGAGGCAATGTAGCACCTTTATGGTCGAAAGTAGGAGATAACAAGAATATCCCACATCTGACCCACATCTGAATTCAATATAAAAAAATGACTGTATCATACCTCCACTCCTCTCCTGACCAAGTCATCGGGAATGCCGGCCAGAGTGGCGATATTAGCTGCACAACTCGACTGGCAGATGCCGTTTTTTACTTGGTACAAAAACACCAGCTCTTCTCCCTCTATAGCTGTCTCTAGAGCCTTCCAAACAAAAACCAAAAATGCATAAATTGGTTTATTGGTCTTGAAATCACAGTGACAGAAATGGTTGATGAAAACTGTATTTTCTGGTCATAGCATGTTTCTGTGGCACCAGTAAAGCCAGCAGTGGAGAATCAGAGATCAAGCCCAGCTGTATGAGGCTGTGGAAGCATGTCGACATAAGTAAGTGAGGACACTGTGGCCCACGACGCAGCCAGTGATTGAGACATGCGGTCAGAAGAGACAATCCATCCACCTGCATCATTAACACACACACAATATTAGTTGAAATGCCTTCATGCTTTTCTATAAGTCCTGTTTGCTCCTCCTGGTTATTTCAAACTTACAGTGTTGGTTCCTTTACCAAATTCATCCACTAGAACAAGAGAATCCCTAGTGCTGTGGTTCAAGGAATGAGTCATCTAGACAGGAATCATAATTATTAGAAAACAGCAGAAGGATGATATTGCAATTCTCTATGTATTTCAATGACTCATCAGTTTTGAATGGCAGCCTTGCAAACAGTTATCAAAACCAATTCAAGCTACATGAATGAGGGACATGACACTTTGGAAACATTTACAAAATCAAAGATGGATGTTACAGAAATAAAAAAATATACAGGGCCTTTGTGTGTGTTCAGGAGGGTGTGATGGCCTCACCTGGGTCATGTCTATCATGAAGGTGCTCAGACCCACTGATACAGACTCACGGTTATGCATACGGCTGAAGATTCCATCCACCAGCCCAATCTCTGCCTCTTTAGCAGGAACATCTGAGCTGATCAGCGCCATGAACACAATCAGTCCCACCTTTAGAGACCGTACAAGATGTTACAAAAATGAAGAAATGCCTACATTTAGGATCATTACCAAACAAGAGTCATGGAACCCTGTCTTTAGTTCATTTTTAAGTAAAGTCCATTTCAAGTAAAGTCAGTTCACTCAATAATCATATTTGTAACGCCTCCGGGAAGCTATTTCTGGCATGCAAGACTAATTTCTATCTACTTGAATGGGAAAATACCAAACTCTCAAAATCTGCTTGCCAAACTCACATTTAAATAACATTTCAATTCAGCAATAAAAATCTGCCATGTACTGACCCATGAATGTTGTTTGTTTCTTATCTTTAAATCTTATTTCATGTAAGATGTGCATGTGCAGTCCAAAGCATGCATCTCAGGACACTGACTGTTTCTATGGGAACTGGAACTTCTAATGAAGGGACTTATTCCACTATATTGCATGTTGCACTTTCTCCCATTCATAGTAATATAAGTGAATTGCATTGTAGTCTTTTCAATTATTGCTATGAAATGTTCTATTATTTATTTAGAAATTAGCCCATGTAGGGTGTTAACGTGAATGTGAGGTCTGTGATATTTATTGCTAGGTTTGCCTGTTTTAGATAGATGCTCTTGCCGGAGGAATTTGGTCCTGTAATAACTTTCACTTTGCCTTCAGTTTCAGAGCTGATGTAGGTGTTTGACACAAATACTGGAGTACACAGCTCCAGCAAAAGATGTCTGAAAGACAAAGAAGGATAAGCATATAAACAGAAGAATAGAGAAATCAGAAAATCCATCTCATTAGAAGAGATGATTTGTAACGTGACTCAATCAGGGCCAGTCTGTGGTTTGGTGTCAGGGTTGGACAGTAGTAGCCATGATCCAGAGAAGCCTGAGCTAAAGCAATGAGACAGTCCAGCTCTGCACATAGAGACATGACCTTATACAAACAGTCGCTCCGCTGAAGCACTGAGGCCTGAAGCTTCCTCATTACCGCCATCTCCAGATCTGGAAAAAATTAACATGATTACAAACTGTTTTAAAAGACACAGTAAGGGTTCTGTGCAATTAATTCATTATTCGAAAGAAAGAAAGAAAGAAAGAAAGAAAAGACCTATGGTGTCACAATGCAGGTCTCCCAGCATGCTGTCCAGCTCTTTGGTTCGAGTGCTACGGTAATGCAGTTGGTCCTTTGATAGGAACTGAAATAATCCAAAAATAATCCTCAAACATTAATGAGTCTAAGACAAAGAGGCCTGAAGTATGTACTCCACGTGTGCACATTCAATTTCTGTGATTAATATTAGTTACAGTACCATGACCATGCTTTTCAATTAAGATTAGTTATCATGCTTTTCTGTTGAAAGGAAGCACTTTGATCCAAATGCAATAAAGTAGGTAAGATTTTCAAACTATAATCTTAAACAGAAGACAAGAATCAAAAATAGAAAAGCACACATAAGACTGAAATTATCTACGAAACAAAGTCTGTACAACAAGCAGTTTCCAGTTTAAAACAAATCCTATCCAGAATATTTGAGGAAATTAATATGGTGTTGCCTTGAAGATATTGTGTTAAAAGTACTGGCATACTCACAATGCAATCAAGACCCTCAATCTCAAAGCTCTGTTTATCCAGCATGTTGGGTAATCTTGGCACTGACAGTAAAAATTCAATCTGTCATCCAACACAGAATGAAATATCAGGATGTCATCATGTACAGGTGCATCTCAATAAATTAGAATGTCATGGAAAAGTTCATTTATTTCAGTAATTCAACTCAAATTGTGAAACTCGTGTATTAAATAAATAAATAAATGTAAGCACTATCCGTTAACTTTTTTTCAGATATTTGATTGTATGTACTACTACAAAATTTGCCTTGAAATGCCTACCGTATGCTGTTCATTATCAATTAGCATCTCTAAAACCCATTCATTTTGTTCATTTCAATAAGATCTCTTAAGGTGAAATGTGCAATTTTTTTCCATTTTAAAATATTTTATCTTGTCAAAGTTGAATATGCAGAGATCACTATATAATTAGACCTTTAATAGGCTGATTCACCCCTTTCAACATAGCAGTGTGTTTGAGTGGTTCAAAATGTCTACAGATGGCTCAACCAATGGCATGTATAGTATAGTATAGTATATTTATTTAATGCCATATCAGCATCAAAGGCTATTTTCATGGCAAAAACAATTAAAAAAAATACAAGTATAACAAATACAATAAAAGCCAGCAAACAAACAAACACAAGTTATATCACACATATTTTTTACATTAACATGTGATAAAAATTCTAAAACTTTACCAATGGCATGAGTTTAGGGAAGGACTTCCTGTTTGCATAATCAATGGTGTGAGAGGATTTTAGGAGTATTTGGGTAATCTGTTTGGAAACAATCATTATTTTTGGAATTCTATTTGGTGGGACAAAAATGTCATAATAAATTGAAATTCTGTGACTAACTGCAAGCTCTTTCTTTATTAAATGAAACAGCTCTGCTTGCTGCTTGTTACAGCTGCTTGCCATTTACTTGCTGCAGTGCACTAATTACAGGAACAGACATCCTGCAGCAAGCTGGGGTCAAGTGGCCCGCTCAGGGGCACAATGGCCACCTCACTGACTCTTCATTTATTGGGTCATTCCAACAAGGAATTGAACCCGCAACCTTTATGTTAACAGCTCTGTGTCAACAATTAGGTAACACATCACACTTTAATGAATGGAGGGCAGCATTAATCACTTCCTGAGCAGAGGGATGTAGATGACACACAAACCGGATAGGTTATAGTTTTACCGTTTACTGCACTTTATTATTCTTCAAGTTTTTTTTTTATGTATAATGGCAATATGAATCTGAAGTCTTGCGCATTCACAGAAAATAACTTAATTTCACATTGAAAAATAAGGCGGGTAATTAAATAACAGTTTCATTTTCCTAGTTATCTGTGAATGATATATCAGCCACCAATATATTGTGCACCTTCAGTTACTATTCCATCAGAACTGAAGAAATCAATGGAAAACCACTCTCTCTCATCAATAACAGGATCAACATCCGGCCTAACAGTGAATCGGTTCTCAGCTATACTTCCTTCAAAGTCCACCTGCAATGGAGAATGACAAACCCAAGGCAATTACATTAAGTCTGTAATAATTTAACATAAACATCAATTGCAACAAAAAATGGAACATGCTTTAGTCCATTATTCAGTCTCACCACTTTACTGATGTATGTGGCAATGTAGAAAAGATCATCGGAGAAGTTTTGAGTGATTTCACTGAAAAGTTGGATGCACTGGGGCATGGAGCGAACAGTGTCCCTAATGCACAATGTACACTGTCTGATATTAGAGAAACATGGTGAAGAAAAAAAAAAAAAAAAAAACAGGATAGCCAATCCTCTTAAGGAACAACTAATTAACTGACTATTGTGCCCACACCTTATATAGGCCTTGCCAGATGGCAACCTTCGGGTTAGAGCGAGACATTTTATGCAGCAACGTCTGTATGAAAGACAAGACAAGAGTCAATTCATTTGGGTGGCTTTTGTTGTTCTGTAATTTGGCTCTGATTAAACAATGTTGATTTTTAGACAAAATGCTGAAAACTGTACCGAGATGTTCTTGATATTCCGCAGGCAACTCTGTAAAGTGTTAAGATCAGCAAAGTTACGAGGGGCTGTGAAGAAACGCATCACTTCCTGACGCCTCTTCAGGATGTTCAGATCTCGAGTAGGTCTGTGGAACCACTGCCTGAGACAGAGGAGAAAAAGGAAGTCTATATTTCATCCAGTTAGGGCTTAAACACATTTTAAATGTGCTAAATTATCTGTTATAAAACCGGAATTTTACCGTAAAAGCAGAGAGCCAAACTTGCTCTGACATCGATTAAGAACACCTGCCGAAAACACAACGTGGGTATTTATTCCCATTCACTTTTATTGCAAGCAAAAGATCAGCATGGGCATTATTATAAGATTTTTAAAAAAAAGACTTTAATTTTAATGGATGAACTATTCCTTTAAATAAACATTTTTATAAATTATAACTTTCCACTAAACAATTACCATTCTCAACTTTTCTGACTACTCACTAAAACAGGGGTTCTCAATGTTTTTGTGCAAGGGACCACTATCCTAAAATTTTCTTAAAATATTCACAGGTAATTTAGCATATTTAGAATATAAATTTACTGATTTAAACTTTGAAAACTAATATTATAAATATGTGCTAAATATTATTTAGAAAATATAAGGTTTCTATTATTGCATTTCTTCTACTCACTATAGCACTGTACTTTTAGATATACAGATTTTTTAATTTAAATATATTTATATTATTTTGATACATTTTTATTATTTATTTAAATCAAATTATTAATTTATTTATTTCAAACTTATTTTTATTATTTATTTGTTTTTACATTTTTTACACCACTTTTATTGAAACTTTGTCATGGATCCCCTAGCACTCACTTGTGAACCCCAGTTTCAAAACCCCTTCACAAAAACATGACAGGATTTATAAATGGTGCACAAAAAAAATACATTTTACCATAAAGACTCAATCCTTCTTTCTCGCCTGACTGGAGCTTAAATACGGAAGGACGCAGCTCAGATTTAAAGATCTGGACTGCACTGAGGAGAAAGTACAAACAGGTTTTTATACCTCCAGAAAGTTGAAAATAAAGGATGGGACTTGTTCATTCGACCAACCTGTATATGTCTCTGTCGATGTACACAACATCTTTCCTGCAAAATAATTAATAAATAAAGCAGAGTTTTATACTCACTGAAAAAACAAGAAGAACAAGTGACTGACACACAAATGTCTTACAGTGTGCAAGTCAAAAACTGCAATATGGGGACGCCCGTACTGCTGTCTTCCAGGTCTAAGCCAACTCTCCTCCTCTCCAGACACTTCAACAGTCCTCCTATTGACCTAATCTACGGCAGAGAAGATCGTGATGATATGCCCATTTATTCATCCAGCATAAAACACCTCTGATGTCTCACCATCAGCACTAAGTCTGATGGGATACAGGAGGAGAGATATGGGATTTTCTCGCTCTCTGTGATGGTGGGAGGGAGAGACGGGAGGTGTGCTGACCTCCAGGCCTGTAAAAGATGTGAGTTTTTCACTAAGCTGGTAAAATGCAGCAAAATTTCATGCACGCATGCAGTATTTCATAATACTTCTACTTCTTGTTATGATTTATTTTTTATTGGTATATAAATGATATTGGGGAAAGACTAGCTAGGTCAAAACGTTACACAGATCAAAGCTTTTTTTTTTTTTTTTTGTCATCTTTGAAATTCATTAGCATCCCCATCCACTTTCAATGTAATATAAGGAAAAGTGCAGCATGAACATCCTGCTAAACTTCTCCTTTTGTGCTCCACAAAATGACATCATTTTCCTCTGAATTGTGATACAGAACAAAATAAAGCTATTTGTAAGTACTTACCAAAGTTTGCATTTGAAAACATGACTATTTCAGGCTTATATTCACGATTCAATTCTGAAATTGAAGCAAAATTAGACATCGATTTGATAGTCTAAACTTGAAAAGAATGATTAAGCGAGATTATCTGTGGTAATCACCTAAATGAATGATTTAGTCAAAACTGAAGTGTTTACTAAGCTTTTCGATAAACTGGGTCAAGCTGTGCTCCTGTTTGGCACTTGTTATTATGACATTTGGACTCAGCTCCTGTATGACTGAAACAGAAAATTCATTATGGCGTAAACACAATGGTCATCAAACAAATACAACATGCATTCGTCAAGCCAATGCATCACCAATCAATGTTCTCTTCGACTAGATTTGACATGACATGCAGACAGAGGTGTAAAGTATTGGAGTAAATGTAATTAGTTACTGTACTTGAGTATCTTTTCGGGTACTTTGTAGTTGTACTGAGTATCAAAGATATTAGCAACTTTTACTCTTTACTTCACTAATGATCTTACCTGATCTTTTGTAATGGAGTCCATTAGTTAAGCTTACTGTGAATAAAACAATGTCAGAAGAAGTGAGAGCAGGGTGCTGGGACCAGAAGAAAGCAGACCTGCTTGAGATGCCATTGCAGAGTAGAGTATCACAGCAGTCATTGTTGAAAGTGAAGTTCAAACCCATGGCAAACTTCTCTCCTGTTAGTCCACACAAGGCAAGAAGAACGCAACTCTTTTCATACAAGACGACCTGAAAGTCCAGTTTGTACAATTCCAGTTTGTACATTATCTGATCAGCTTTATCAGTGATCTGACCCTCAAATCAGATGTAAGCAGTATATTATCATCTTTTCCTCTAACCCTCCCCTTTAAACATTAAAAATGCGTCTCCACCCTGAAAGTTTAATTCAGGCTTGAGCAGTTTGTTGATGCAGCTCTGAGGTCAAACATCGTTGACAGAGGTCTCTGAATGCCCCATTACACCCCATGTCATTTAATCATGCAGGCAGACAAAGTGTAGTGTCAAACCACACCTCAAAAAAGCTGGCTTACCTTTCACTATGTAACTATACGTTTTTATAACCTTGAGGTTACAATGTGACGCCTTTGCTGGCAAGAGTAGACCAGCAGCACAAATTTAATTAGATGTTAAATGTTCAAAAATCATAATTTTACTAAACCGATTCCTCAAGGCAGCTTAGATGAAAAACAAGGCACAAAAGGTTCTCTGAACAGTGCACAGAAATAGACTTAAAGAAAAAAAAAAACTGAAACAGTTGTCATTTTTGACCACACAACTGCTGAAATAGTCTGCATAAATTGAGCATTGACTAGATTTAGACATTACTTTGGGACAGAAAAAAATGTGACTTTTCTGAGGTAGATTAGCCAAAAAGAAAATCACTTTTGTAGAAACACCACAATTCACCCTTATGTTCATGTACACTGCCTGATGCAAAACACAGTGGTTATATCAGCATAGGGCTGGACGATATGGCCAAAATTGATATCACGATATATTTCTTAATTTCGGTCGATACGATATAATTCCGATATCGATATGAACACTATTTATCTGAAATAGAAATCTTTTGTAATATTATAAATGCCTTTATCATCACTTTTGATCAATTTTAAGCATTTATACAAAATGGAGATTAGCGGTTAGACTTGGCCACTCTCTCCAGCTCATCTTTCTTCTTGATGGCATAAGAGTTGGAGGAACCCTGCAATAGACAAAAAAACTTTAAAATAGCAATCAAATAAAAAGATTCATAAAAGACTATATACTGTAGATGCCCTGAAAGTGTTGACAACACAGTAAAAGTAAAACGCTCCAATCAGATTGTTTCTCTCACCTTGGCGGCGTTGATGAGCTCATCAGCAAGACACTCTGCAATAGTCTTGATGTTCCTAAAAGCAGCTTCTCTTGCACCAGTGCAAAGCAGCCAGATGGCCTAAAATCATAACACGCACATAAGACCATATCTTCACCTGCCATTTCTGTGCTCTATATTTTCTGTGAATGGCCACCCAAGTCTGAAGAGGCTTAATAGAGAGTCCTGGGATACTAAAAGCATCCTAACATATGACAAGTCCCTTAGAAGTCAACATGTCTACTATAACATGTACTTTCTTAATGCCATGTTCCTGGTCTCACTGTGAACATTTCATTTGCTTTCTTTACCCCCCAAAAATAAAAGGTTAGCCAATAGACAAATAACTATCTAGGCTTTGTTTTAGCAAACTCTCACTCAAACGGACCTGGTTGACCCTGCGCAGAGGTGACACATCAACAGCCTGTCTCCTCACGGTTCCAGCACGTCCGATACGAGTGGAGTCCTCACGAGGGCCGCTGTTGATGATGGCGTTCACCAGGATCTGCAGAGGATTCTGGAAAAAAACATTAAACATTGTCTACCCTTTTGAAAGTCACAACATCTTAGAAATAGTTTGATAAATTGTTATACAACATTTACATTCTACTATAAATTTAAGTCAGACCCAAGGCAACCAGGCATTAATAACTCTGTGGAAAACTGTTGTCTCACCTCGCCAGTGAGCAGGTGGATGATCTCAAAGGCGTGTTTGACGATGCGGACGGTCAGCAGTTTTTTGCCGTTGTTGCGTCCGTGCATCATCATGGAGTTAGTGACGCGCTCCACAATGGGACACTGAGCCTTACGGAAACGCTTGGCTGCGTATCTGCCGCTGGAATGAGGGAGGTATTTGGCATATTTCTCCTTCACGGCAATGTAATCCTAATGAAAGTGAGAGACACATGTTGACCTGTATCCGATACATGAATTTCTACAGCCTCTAGATCACCAATATGATCAAAATGTTACTGAAAAACCTACTACATGCCATCTGCTGTCTGATTTAGAGTGTATCCCTTTTTAGTAAGCAAAAGATCTTTTAATATAATTCTAAAAACACTTTCTAAAAAGACTTGCCATGAAATCTTCATTGATTTTAATTAAGTAAACTCAACTTTCCTATTAATATTTTAATATGAACATTTACAGGGCTTAAGCAACTTGGATTTACTTGACTAATACATTTTTAGAAATGTTAAAAGCATCAAATATGATACAACAGACTTTTGATGAATGTTACTGCACATCTCTTAATTGTATTTCATTTAGTCCACAACAAAAATAGAGCTATATAATATTTATAAATGCACACACACACGAAAATATAAATATATAGAGAAATAAAGACAAAGATGTTTATTCCTCCGAGTATGAGCTCCATATTGCCGTATCATACTATAATACTATTGTCCTATTTCATACCATATATACTATGTGCCAAATGCGGTTAAATTATTCAATAGAGAATTGCAAAAATGAGATGTCATATCAATACTGTAGCTTTTTAATTTTTTTGGGTTGTGTAATTTATTGTATGTTGTGTACTGGCCATGTCATGGTTGTCCAAGATGAATTTCCCAGAGATGGGAAAATAAAGTATATTTTATTCTATTCTATAAGCCTGATATATCAAACATGATACAAAAAAAAACCACATATGTGACCCTGCACCACAAAACCAGTCTTAAGTAGCACGAGTATATTTGTAGCAACAGCCAAGAATACATTGTATGGGTCAAAATTATCAATTTTTCCTTTTATGCCAAAAATCATTAGGATATTACGTAAAGATCATGTTCCATGAAGATATTTAGTACATTTCCTACCATAAATATATCAAAACTTTTTGATTAGTAATATGCATTGCTATGCACTTCATTTGCACAACTTTAAAGGCGATTTTCTCAATATTTTGATGTATTTGCACCCTCAGATTGCAGATTTTCAAATAGTTGTATCTTGGTTAAATATTGTCCTCACAAACCATACATCAATGGAAAGCTTATTTATTCAGCTTTCAGATGATGTATAAATCTCAATTTCAAAAAGTTTTGTGGCCCAGGGTCACATATGCAAACTTTTTTGTAAATGTTTCTACATTTTGTCTAAAAAATTATTATAAACTTCTATTTGGGGGGGAAAAGATTTGACTATTATTTCATATGTCAGGGCTAATGGACAAATAAAAAGCAATTCTCAGAAAAGCTGTTCATTTCCATGAATGTGTCAAACACACCTGCAGAGAGATGTCGTTGATCTGCACATCATCTGTGCTCCATTTGCCAAAGAGTTTGATCTCTGGTGATTCAGCAACAGCTGGCACAGCCTCCCAATCTTCAGCCATCTTTCAAACCAAATGAGAATATCATTTTATGTACATAAGGGTGTCCAGAAAACACCCAAAAAAATCACAGGTGTGTGGCCAAAATAACTAAACACCTGGGGTAAAAATTCTAAATAAATTCAATAAGAACAAGAGTGTCTAAATTGAAAAAGCAATATTTTTCAATTAATAATACAAAGCATACGGTCCTGCTCAATATAGACAATTTATATTGACAATTAAACAAAATTAAAGATTACCGCGACCTGTCCTCAAGTTGAGCACATTAAATGACCACGAACTATTTACATCCTACACACATTAAAATTCTGGCGATGCACCTCAATAATACAGTTAACACGATTCAACCAACTCTTACTTTATTTGAGGAATAGAAAATAAAGTGACACAGAACTGAGGTGTGGATTCGCTCATGGTCTCTTCTAAATGAGAAACATCGCACTCACGGACCGCTTACAGAACGCGTTCAAATTCATCGTTTTGACAAGCCATATATGACATATATGGGTTAAAACACGAATATAAGTATGTTAACAACCAGATGTGTATACTTTAATGAGGGTGGAAGGGATATAAACGCTTTAATACATGTTTTTCATCGTTACCTTCGCAGCGTGTGTGTGAATGGCGTACTCGAGCAGGCGGAAAGGAAGAGCGACACGAGGAATGAGAAAAAACCCCACTTCCGCTCAATGCGCTTCCGAGTCGTCGAGCTCTTCTTCTTCTTCTTCTTTGGAATTTTTGGCGACATACCGCCACCAACTGTTTATATTTATACATGGATGATAGTCCCGTCTCTATTAATATTTTATTTTATTTTATTGTTCATTTTATTTCGGGTTCACCCAAGCTGTATTTCTGGCTGCTGCGTGTTAAAAAACCAGCTTGTGTGTTCCCCTATTCCTTTGCTATATTTATTTCATTAACTATCAAATTCGTTTGTTTAATCCTGTTTCTACTATACATTTCATTACTATTCTTTGATTAATACATTCTTTTAATCCTTTTCCTAATATCCAATTTATCTTCTTTTTTCTTTATTATTACCTTTTCAGTTCTTTATCATTATAATTATCTCTATATTATATTTCCGACATTTTAATATTACATGTTCAACGGTTTCTATTACCCCACAAAAAGCACATTTACCTGTAATATGTTTACCTATTTTGTATAGTCATGCATTTAGTCCTGTGTGTGCCCAAATTGTAATCTATTTAAAATCACCTCGTCTTTCCTACATCTTCCAAAATTGTATACCTCTTTAACTGATGAATTAATTTTGTAATAAAATCTTCCTGTATCAGCTATGTCCCACT